GTGTGTGTGTAGAAAGGGGGAGGGGTATGTCTATGGGCAGGGTGGAAAACAATACACCCGGAAACGTTCGTTAGACTGGGTTTGTTCTCGAGAACGGCCTAAGTGTACAAAATTCCTGTCGACGCGGAAGTTGTCAGGTAGGCTGCTATAAAGCATAATCTCTCCTGCCGGATCTGAGTTACGGACACACCGCTCCTCCAGCGCAGTTGTTACGACTACTGGCACGCCAGGTCTTTAGAGAACATAAACAGGGATTGTTCCAAGACCCATGTGGCTGGTTTGAGCTCAAGACAATAGCAGAGACCGAAAGTCTTGTTTCTAATTTACGACACGTTGCCACGGGTGTTGCAACTGTCTTTGGACGCTCGATGCAACCCCCCCACCCCCCAAAAAAACCCCAAACCCAACAAACCAACCCAACCCCCCAAAAAAAACCCAAACCCCGCAAGTATATTAAGATTATCACAGAAAAGGGGTGTGGCGACAATGTCAATTTTTTAAAGTTAGAGGTACATTAGTTGGTTTTTTTAAAGTTCGATAAATCGCACCCAAATGCTCACCCGATAATGTAGTTTTAATTTTTCCATTGTGTGAAATAGGCCAATACAATGGCAAAACTTTTTGGTTTTTGGTTTTAGTAAGAGTTTTACAGCACTTGCAACACAATTAGGCCGTCATATAAGTGCTGAGAAATGCCAGACACTTGAACCAGTGTTCAAGAGTGATTTAATAAGAATAAATGAGAAAAAAACCCCCAACAAACAAACCCAGAAGGAGGCAGGCTATGATTTTTCAAAGAATGGAGCAGATCACTTGAACCAGAGTGCAAGAGTGATTTAATAAGAATAAAAGAGAACCCCCCCCCCACCCAAAAACCCCGACCAAAAAAACAAAAAACAGAAGGAGGCAGGCTATGCATTTTCCAAGAATGGTACATGTATGTACTATGCATGTTTATCTCAGCATTGATGTTCATATGATATTACGTTATTCTACTTTTCTAGTTAAGCTGCTGGTATATCTTTCCACCAATTCACTTGAGGGAAGTCAATGTAACAGATTTCAGTGAAAGTACTGTCAAGCTTACCTCTGGTTGAAGGGACGCACCCTCACCGCCACCTTGACCCTGGAAAAGTCAAAATTGTCCAAGAAAATTAATCAAAGTTGTATACGGCATACTCCCACCACAAAAACTGAACAAAATAAAACTGAACCCCCCCCCCAAACAAACCAAACAAAACAACAACAAGAACAACAAAAACAACAAGAACAACAACAAC